ACCTTTTAATGCTGTCAATTTGATTATTTTCATTAGCATTTCAGTAGCATTCCAAATTTTCCAGTATTTAGGCACTCATCCAGATGAGGGACGAGCCCTCCAGATTCTCCAGCCTGGCGCCCTAACAGTTTCTCAACTACAACAAATGCAGTACTATAAAATTTTAGACAAAATCTAATCACAATTAGACAAATAATTCCAATAAAGGCTACAAACCAATGTGCAAATCAATTAATATGCTACCAACTTCAGTCAGCCCAGCATCCTTATGAAATTCACTACCGGAAAAGCACCCTGATCAACTGTTTTCATTTTCCCATGAACTGGGCTATCGGACCATCTCCAGAAGAAAAAAAGATTATCAAAGCTTTTCCCGACTGTACTTTACAAGGTTTTGGCCGTTTTGAAGTCTTTGGAGTGTGCTGAACAGCTTCTCTTGAAAGTTGCTACTGTTAGACCTCAGTAAACTATCTTGCCAATTACAAGTTGCTGACTTCAGCCAAAAAACCCCCCAAATTTTACAGCACAAGAAAAGCTACCTTTGCCATTTCTTCCTTGCTCAACGCCTTTTTCACATCGCAACGATAGTTCTGAATCTGGTGACTCTTCTGGAGCACACATTTGTCCACTGGATCGTAATCATCGAACGACACGAATGCAAAACCTCGCGGCTTACCAGTGCCTCTATCGGAGATTATTTCCACCTGCAATGACTCTTCTCATTTCCTTTTTGATGCGGTAAAAGTCGGATTTATCACTTCCAAGAGATAAGAACTCTTTTTATGTCTCGTGAAAATTCTTAGACCCGGTAGTATGCAACCGGCCGAAGTCCTCAAAAATACCCATTCCGCTGCAATTTGCCAAAACTCAGGAACAAAATGATATTTTCACCAATCATCTATGAGAGTGCGTCCATTCTACAGTGCAACGATAAAAATTTGGGATAAAGTAGTAGCCTACCAAATAAGCTTTAAACGGTAGCACTTTCATTTCGAGATATTATTGGATAAACCAGATTTCTACCAACGACTTCCAAGAGGTACCACCTCCATTTTGATCAGTAACAGAACAGAAGTACCACTTCCAAGGCACAATTATGCTACGCCCATCGATCTTGCAGAACATACC